ACACACACATACACATACACACACATACACATATACACACATACACATACAAACACACACACATACACATACACATACACATGGACATACAACACTTACACAATACTTAAAAGGTTTCATTTCAAGTTCGACAATAATTTTCTGGTTCAACTCAATTAATAAACAAGTCTGGATTAATAAGCTAGTCTTAATTAATCATAATCCAATGATGATTATGCCCATCAGTAAAATCCTGTATTTAGTTTTTTCCGGAAAAATTTTAACATTTTTAATGATAATAAAACGTTCCGATCTGAACAAACGTTGTTAGTTGGACAATCGATGATATTGTACCATGTAAATTTTATTACTTACAAAAAATACAATTTTTTACTTTCATTCCATGTATTCTTAATTGAATTTAGAATCAATTGAATTTCTCCTATACAAGTCAATGAATCATAATGACATATAAAAGCATGTAAAAAAAAATTATGGTTCATAAAATAGATAGGAATAAAATATTTTATATGAAAGTGATTAGTATGTTAGAATAAATGAAACGTGAAAAATAAACAACCAATTTTATCCTTTTTGTTTTGTTTTGAATCATTAATATGCTAATAATAAAGGAAAAATTAACTATATTTTTCTAAATTAGTTCTATTTAATTTTCAATCAAATGAGTTGACCTGTATTATTTTCAATTCTCTCGCCGATATTATCATCATTTTTTTTCATATTTTCTTATTTTCATTCATCATTATTTTTTTCAAGAATATTGACTTCCCTCTTTCTTTCGTTCCTCTCCTCATCTGTGTCTCTATCATCCTATTTTACCAATATACTTTAAATTACTTTTCATAATTCTGTAATTTTTTATTCCATTGTAAAGGTAAAAAAAAAATTTTTTTCAGATTCTGTAATATTATTCCACATTGGGTGCATTCATTCTTCGATCAATCAATCCATTTAATTATTTTCATAATTCAATCATTCATTTAGTTCATTCTTCAAAGCGGAAAATGTCATCATCCATCTACTGCATCTACAACACATCGAGATTGTAATCTTAATAAAATCTCTTAAATAGAAATAATGTTAGATTATCCTTTACTTATTTAATGATAAGCTCAAAGTTCAGATGGCTTTTTGATAGTTGTATGATTTTATTATCTTATCAATCATATTTGCTCAAAAACGTTTTGTTCTAATTTATTTCTGAGAAATAAAATTCAATTTTAATGAGACATAAAATTTGTAAAATACATTCATCAGCAGTGAATTTCTTTAAATTTTCGCAAATTTATTGAACCAATGTAGAAAAAATGCTAAGCAGTAAGTCGAGAAAGTGTGAGAAATATTTTTGTATTTCATTTTTCAATTTAATTTTACAACTTTTCGAAAACAGCCGTAATTCATCTTTTTGATTAATCAGAAAATTGCAAAAATTTTTTGCAGAATATTTCTTTTTACCAGTTGGAGCACTACTTGATCCCTGTTTTTTCACCTCTTTTTTCCTAAGCAAACTTTTTTTTAAATATTATTTTTGATTGAAATAATTAATTTGGCAAATATTTTTTGGGTCAAGAAAACAGATAAAAACACTTTTTTGAAATGTTTTCCAAATTGCAAAAAAAAAAATTTCTTTCCAGTTTTTTTTTACAATTTGCACTTTTGCTCATTTCACTCACCTTTGATTATGAGAAATGAATGAGATTCATTGTACTATCATCAAAATTGTCCTTCAATTAATGGACATATGCACATTAATCACAATCGAAACTTTCTGAGGAAAAAAAATTCCAAAATTGTTAGCCGACTGAATATTACATTTAATACACTCTATTTTTTCAAGATTGCAATGTTTATAAGAATTTTCTGCTAATTAATTTTATTGTTTTTTTTTCTTTTAGTATATCCGGAATTATCGATATAAATATTTTCTCCATTATTTTGCGACATTATTTTAACAGTTGCTGCTTTAGAAGTGTAAATTTTTAACCGGTTGAGTTAAAGAATAAAGTAAAGAGGAGAATACATTTGTAATATGTTTGTTTAATAGAGAATAATTAATACTCGAACACCTGAGCAGAAGTTTTGCAATATTATTTTGTTAAATTTTCAAAATTCTTTTATTTAAGCGTAAACAATGGCTTCAGTGCCCGTACGGGCGCTTAATGCGTTGTGTAACGAAACATCACGCAACATTCAAGAATGGCTTACGGAATTGACGATAAGCAGTGAGCCGGAATGCATCTTCATTTTATATGCGAAATCATTTTTGGATCATACCGAACAACAACATTTATCAGTGATATCAAATCATTGTGAAGATCAAGTTGAACGAATTCATTTAGGTTCTACAAGGTATTCTTTTCATTCATATAGCATTTAAATTATTTGAATTTAAGCTTCTTTTATGTTCGCAATATTTTACTCTGAAATACTTTCGACATTAAAATTTTTCAAACGATATTTAAATAAATAACACATATTCTCAAAATCTTCCAAATTTAATTGATCAGTAACTTAAAGTTATGAGATAAAATATTAATAAGTCAGCCATAAAGTAACGCTATCTTATATATATAGAATTACAAGTAAGCCTGAAGTAATAAATTTTAAGTAACATTTTGACCAGCACATATTTAAATATTCCCGGTATATTTGCAAGTACAGATCATTTCTCTACTGTCCACTTTATGTCCACTCATTTTCACTATTGATCAGTTCGGCTAGTAAACAATTATGGACTGGAAATTGATTTGAGCATTTATATTTGATTCCAGTTTTTTGCTGTTTGTTATCAATCTGCAAATTTCATTCTTTTCATACCACTTTTTAGTCTATATTAAATTAAACAAAAAACTTTTAGGTTTTAAAATTGAAAATTTTTATTATTTTTTAATTTTATTTTTGTAAACAAACACTAAATGATTAAGGCAGGGAAAATTTCCATATCTTTATAATTAATTGGTTATGTATTGTTTAAATCGTAAAAAAATCATAAAAATCATAAAAGTGATTTCTAATCTTTTCTGCTGTGATTTTTTTAAACTAATAATCATGGTTGAACTTTGTATTTCAATTAAAAAAGCGACAGTAGATAATTCTTTGGCGATCAGATAAATTAAGAATTAATGATTTTCAAAAAATTAAAATATATAAAAATTTGTACTCTCGAAAATATTTTATGTCAATCTTGTAAGTTACAGTTCGTCAGCACCAATAAAGCCAAAACGATGTATTGCTCGGATGATGTCTTCATCTTCGGAGCATGTTATGACTGCTTCAACGCCAGTACCGCATGCAAATAATGAGAAATATCGTAGCACCGTATGTTATCAGCTTAATGAAGCAAAAATCACTTCCACAAAGTTAGTGGCATTGTGTGATAAGGAATGATCAAATACAAATATTGAAATTATGCTATAAAACATCATTAAAAAAAATGAAAAATTAATCAAAAGAAGAGTTCTTATATTTTTGAACATTTGAAATATATCATTTTTTTCCAATATTTTATAAAAAATATAATTTTAATTTTTCAACAACAGCAACAACAAAGATAATTTTAGATGCAATCCAGCACCAATATCAGCATTTATTCGTGTGAAATCGTGCAACGATTCTGATAACAACAATATGACTAAAGTGAAATCAGAATATAACTCATCTACCAATGAAATATCATCAGCTATGAAATTTTCCGCAACGTCGGGACATAATGCAAGAACGTCCTTCTCTTATCCGCAAAATCGATCATTTGTACCGAAAATTTCCACCAAAGGATACGGTTATCGATGTAGATTACGTCGTAAATCACAGAAATTATACAAATCATCACTTCAACAACAACAACAGCAAAAACAAGAGGAAAAAGAAACAGTTGAAATTGATCGGAAACGGAATGACGGAACAAGAACGGTAGGATAAAATGAATGATGTTTTATTATACAATGCAATCTTTTATAATAGATAAATGGCGTACGTGTATACGTGTTTATCAATAGTCCAGTAATCATTGTTTACTGTATAACAGCTCGATATATCACTAAGGCGATTCCTTTTTTCTTCCATACAAATCTTTGGAATGATTATAAGAATGATAAAATATCCTCATAATCATTCCAAAGTAAAATATATTTCTTCCAGATTCGATTTACACTATTTCCGATTTTATTTTATAAGTCATGTTACTATCATTCGGTTTTTATTTTAGCATTTCTGGTTCCTAATTTGAAATTCTGCTACTGTTTTTGGAATAATTTTACTAAAATGCATTATTCAGATATTATACATGTAATATTTTTTGGCCTAATTTTTAATTTCATAAAATTTTCAGCTACAATAATATTTGCTCTTCCTCTGTTTCAGATTACTGACAGAACAATGATTGCAAATGATTCCAATTTTAATACTTCGCAATGTTTAGTTGCTAAATCGTCATCATTGAATGTTAACACTGATCAAGGGATAGCAAAACGGCATGATCAATCAATATGTATTGAAAATGAACAAAATCTCATCTGTTCAAAAAATCAATCATCATTACACGTTATGAACATCAATAGTAATTCGGAGAACTCTGAAATGCTGTATAGGAAGCAATTAAATTTTTCCAGAAAGTATAATAGTAATGAATCGGGAAATTTTTTCAACACTCAAAAAGATGATTCACAATTATCAGTTGTACCATTTGTAAAATTTCGAAAGCCACCGAAAACAACGATTTCAGTTCAGGTTGATATTATGATTTGTGTTTTAATGAAATTAAACTATTGTATATTTAGCTTGAAACTGATCACATTTCACATCAGCTCTTCAATTCTTTTTTTGGTTTTTTTCCTTCAAAAATATCAATTTGTTAAATAAATTTTTACGAAAACTTTTCAATAATTATTTTTTTTTTCCAAAAATGGGGAAAATTGTAGAAAAAAGTAAAACCAGACAGAAGGTCTGATTCAGTGGATAGTTGTAATCGAAATCAATTTTCAAGCAATCACCAGATTCGGACATCGTGCAAAGCGGTAAATCATGAGCAGGTAGATTTGATATGAAACTTTATAGATGACGGATAGAATTGTCACAAAAATCATGATAATAATAATGATAATTAAACATGGTGATACGGCGTGTTTACGGCAATAACAAATAGGATAGATAAATCATAAAATGAATTGTTATCATAATAAATTATGAATCTTGGATTATAATAATCATATTAAATTTCAATTTTTAAAAATTTTTTCAAAATTTCACAGCTTCAGATTTTTTGCTTCAATGGCAAAACAATATTACAGGTATCCGCTGATGCACCATCAAGTTCACAAGTGATAAAATCGATTTCAAATATTGCAAGGTAATTATAATTTTTTTTAGGAATAAATTTGATAGAATTAGTTGAAGGATAATTTCTTTCCACATTTCCTTTAACTTTTCACTGCTACAGATATTCCGGTTATTATCCTGATGATGATATTATTGAATCAACTTTAACCGGAGTAACAACATCGGCAGCATTTGAATCGGTTGATTCAAGTACTAATAGCAGCGTAGATTCGGGACAAGGATCGACTGAATTAAATTTTCAAAATTGTTCGCCAAAGGATTCACTTGATTGTGATAAGATTTTACCGACATATGCTCGAATAGCTAGTAAGCTATAAAAATTTGAAAAGAAAAAAAACTTATTTTTCCAATAGCAAATATATGAATTTTTATCATCCTCGATTGATAATGTCGTGTCTAACTGATAGTATCAATTATCATAAGTTTATTATCATCAGTTTTATCTATTCAGTAATCATAGCTATCAATTATGTGCGAAAAATTTTCAAATTCAACAATCGATTACTTGAGATCATATACTTTTGCATTGCAATAAGAAAATTAATAGTTACGGAAATGTGAGCAAATGAAAAATTTCAAGATACGATTGATAACGTGTTACGTGTATGCAGCACGTTTCATGCAGCATTAAACGATGAAATTAGTGAAAAATGGACTAATGATTTAATATGTGAGGCAAAAGTATTAATTGTAACAATTCAGTGCTCACCGTGTTTAACGTTTCTTTCTGCTCACGTAAGTTTGCTAACTGTACACTTTTTTCTACCTTACAATCATCATTAAATACGAATATATGACAATCGCGTGTGTTTTTTTTAGCTAAAGATTTAGGCTTATTAATTTTTAGTGAAAGTTTTAAATTTAATGATTTTTTTTGTTTTGTTTTCATTATTTTTTGTCTAAATTAAAAAATATATATTTGATAATATTGTTCTGTTTTGATTGCTTTTTTTGTCTAAATTAAAAAAAAAACTTCAATTTGTCTAATTAAATAATTGCTTTACCTGACGTATTCCTAACTTATACTTAGATATCAATTGTGATAAATCGATGATTCCTTGATAATTTTCATTTCATACTTTTGAAATTGTATGATTTTTTTTGAAGGATCTATCAACAGTACAACAAATGATTTCTCATTTGGAGTCGGAACAAACTTACACCGAAAGGCCTGTTAGTGCGTCTAATTTCCTGATTGTTCTGTTACGGAAGATAATTCATGAAATGTTAATCATTTTTGCAAGAATAATATCAGTATACCTGGCCGAATGTACCAATCGTGATCGATTATTAGTCATTGCTCTCGAACATCTCATACATTTAATGCTTTTCGGTGATGAAATTTGCCATGTTATTATACAGGTAATAGGTTTTTTTTTTAAATCTTAATTAAGACTTTCTTATTAAGCCTGTTAGTAAAAAATGATGAAAGTTATCGTATTGTTGCATAATGCAGTTTAAATGCTGAAAAAAGAAATTGGAAGTTTAAAAAAATAAGAAATCCATTAATTGAAATTAATTAAAACTAGAAGATAAACAGTCGCAAAATCTCATTTCAATGGGACAAAATATAAAAAAGCAATTTTTTTATTAAGAAAAAAACATATTAAGGAAATTTTTTTCCGAAGAAAGATTATTTGCTAATTTAGTATGGTGGTTTGGATTCGTTATTGTATTTTTGTGAAGTACCATCCATTTCAAATGGTACCCTTCGGTTACTACTTCGAGCTTTGGCTATCTTATGTGGTAATTATCGAGGTGCATTGAAACTTTTAGCGGTAAGTGATGACATTTTATAGTGTTCGAGAAATATTATAAACTCTGGATCTCTCCGGGAAATTATGGCTTCTTACTAAATTTTGCCTTTTATATAAGCTTGCAAATAACGTAGTTCAATTGTTTTTTATACCTGAAATTTACTAATCAGTAATCTTCGTTTTCACTCTGATAGCTTATTTTCATTAGAAAAATAAACTCATTATTGCAAATATTCATTCTACATTTCCCGTATTAATTAATACAAGTAATTTTTAGCTTATTTTTAATTCCATCACTTAATTAAGTATTTATGTCTAAATGTGAGAAGTTTGAAAATATAAGATTGGAGAGTATTATCATCCCAGAAAGTTATAGCAATTTAATCCATCAGTTAGGTATAATATTTGCTGTGAATCTATGTAAAAGAATGAATTTAAATTGTTCGGAATTTCATCGAAAAGATTTTTTCAGCTTAATAAATTTGAGTTAATTATTCAATTGCTATTTACTTCAACGATAGCTTGCTCAGCAGAAGCAGCCGGTATATTAACGCAACTAACAAATCCTAATCAAAATTATGTTCGACTAGGTAGTATGTTGCCAAGAGTTGTGATACGAATTCTTGGTAATTTGAATTTATCGGTTCGACATTTCTTTTAATCACAAATTCGACAATTTTCAACAACACTTTACTACTTTTACCTCTCCTCTAGCATTATGAAAGCAATAGCTATATCATAGCTTCTGTAGTAAGAATACGAAAATTTACTTACGGATTTCACTACAAAAAACTATAATACGATTACGAAACAAATCCTGTTATCCTGAAAGTTACAAACCTTTTTCAAAAAAACAAATATATGCATTTTATCAAATTCTTGCCTTTTGATTCATAATTTTGCAATTATTTCAATTGTAAATTTTAGAAATTGTTGATAAAAGTAAAGTAGCAGAATCGTTACTGTTAGCATTGGCGGCATTAGCAAATATAACAATGCAAGAATGCGGAACAATTGATATTCTCTACGAGCATAATGCTATCAAACGTTTTGTTCAAGCATATAAAAGGCCGAAATGTCATAATGTATTTATTGAAGAACAGGTAATCCAAATTTGATCCTCATTTCAAGGGCCATGTAAAATTGATTCCAAACGATTTCAACAAATGCTTGCATAATCGGTTTTTTTTTTTTTTTTGGAATTTCTTATATTGTACTCGTGAAAAACAAATTTCAGTTGTTGACAATTTTTATCAGTCTTGCAAATGGTGCTTATATTGAAGCATTAATTGGACAAGGTGCAGTTGATTTCTTGCTTTCGCTATTAAGAGTACATGGTAGGACAAATGTGAACTGTTGCTTGAGAAGGATTCAGATACGAACTACGCAATGCTTACGAACGATAGCTAATCACGGAATTGGTCTTAAGGCTATACATGAAATGAACGGTGAGAATTTGAAAAATTTTCAATTTTCATCAGAATTAATTGGTGCAATTTTTTGAAACTCATTTTTGAGTTCTAATTAATTTTGCTTTTTAATAAACGATGCTCATACATATTTAAGTTTTAACCGAAATGAATGATGAAACTTGAAATTTTTAATTTTTATAATATCAGATGATACAAAATGGTATTTAATTAATAAGCCAGTTTTTTTATTTTACTTTGAACTAGCCAGAAAAGAAAAAAATGATTAGCTAGTTTTATTTTTCTTTAAATTCAGAAACTGAAATGAATTTTTCTCGTTTGTATAAATTTTTCTAATAATTCAAATCTTTTATGGATTTAAAAACCAGAAAAATGAAAACTAGCCAGTCATTTTTGTGATTATGAGGAAACAAGAAAAAATTTTTACACCTTTTGATTTAAGGTTAATAGGATTAAAATGGTGTTTGAATTATTATATTTCAAATAAAACTGAAAATCTCAAATTAATCGTGTAACTAATTAAAACTAGCTAAACTAATTAACGGTTAAAATTTTTAAAATCTGATCTTATATGCTACCAACACATACATATACTTCGTGTGTATGACTCACGTAGCCCAACTTACGTGATCCATTAGCATTGATTTAATTGTCATCCTCTATTTATTTAATTATTTCCTTATTCAATTTTGCTTATTATGTCATCTTATATTTTTTTCTCGTCACTATAATCTATTCATTTGTGAAATGAAATAATTAAATCAGTTCCAATAAGAAATTAATTTCAGGTTATTCAGTGATATCGAAGATAATGCGAAATAATAATACACCAGCTGATGTGAAGAGTAATTTATGGTGGATAACGGAACAATTAGAGAAAAAATATCAATTAGAAAGTGCTGTATAGTGTCTTGAACTAAAATTCCAAGCTAACTTACCTTAGCATACGAAATTTCTCCACTTCATTATGATAATTAAATTCTTGTAATCATATTTTGCGTCTTCAATGAACAGTTCTAGCCATTTAAATAATCAATTTTTTTTACCAAAAAAAATCAAAGGCTCACTATTTCGACCTTTAATGAGAAAATTAACACGCCAATTCATATAGAATAACAATTTATGCAATAAAAAATTTTAAATAAAATATTTCGATATAATTTGAGAAAGACATAAAATGAGTATTTAAACTAGCATTCTTAAAATAACATTAAATCTGCTGCGTTTAAATTTATTTTCATTGATCTCGTGAAGAAAGAGTTTCAATAATATATTTGATAAAATTAGTTTCAAGAATGTGCTTGAAGTGATAAATTAGAAGTAAGAATGAGAAGCGCAGTTGTTATTGTTGCTAATTTGCACTCATACCGTGTTAACAACATGACAATTTTATTGAATTTGCAAGAATTTCGATGCAAATTTTTTATCATTATATTTATTAAAAAGTTTAGTACAAATAATTTCACATACTTTGCAAAAATAAAAAAGCAAAAATTTCAAGCAAATGAAAATATTTAAATGTCCCATTTTCAACAAAAAAATGTTACGATAGAACAAATAGCAATTTTTCGATCAAAATTTACACTTAAATTTTGACAAGCTATTAATTGTTATCATACGTTATGTTATCATTTGCAAAAAGGCAATGATTACAAACGATATACACAATTAAACATAGAAATCGAATAACAAATTTTCAGTTTTATGGTCAATTAGATGGATTTTTTAATCAAGTTTTTGCTATATAAATAAACAGTAAAATTAATTAATTAAATAAGGTGTAT